GTTACATATATGCCACAAAGCCCACTGTTCATATTACATTGCATGAAGTAGATCTTGGAAATTCAACTTAAGTTGTCCAAGCTCTTGCTGCACTAAAAGTCTAAACCACATAAAGCACATTTATAGATTTACATAAGCATAGTTGCTGATTGCATTCGTCTGGATGCAGCAGAAATAGCTCAGGATGATCCTTTGAATATGGAGGCTGGTGGGTGGGAAATGAAGGAAAGAGGGACCCTATCTTTGTTCTGGAAGGGAGGACAAGAGGTGAGGACAGAAGGATGGGAAATGGGTCAGATACAGCTACATGGGGAATCCTCAGTTGAGGAAAAAGGAGGACATGGAGGCACCTCTGTGGAAGGTGGCAACTTTGAAATAGATGAAACACAGAGCAACTCCCTTTCTGACAAAATGAATTTTTGATGACCAAACTGCTTATAATATGGTTATTTTTGAAAACTAGAATTGGCAAAATTACATGTCAGATTACATAGGCTGCATTTTTTCCATGGAAGGGTGCATGTCAGAAATGTATTGGAATTGCATTTTGATTTTAAAAAATACTGGACTTTAGGACACAGTTTTTTACATTTTTAATGTTGCTTTTAATTCAAGGTAAAATGGCAGAGTTTGGAGAACAGGAAGTGACTTCATACTAAATCTGCCCAAATACAAACCCATGTGAACAGTTTGTTGCGGAGACAGAAACTCAAAATGAAACTTTTTCAAAGTCAGGAGCACATTGTTACACTTGGGTGCAAAGATAGCAGCAGCAGGTTATGCTGCTGCTGCTCAGACTCTCCGAATTAATGGCACAAATTTATGGGGGAGGAAGACTCACAACTGCTACAGGATGCATGCCAACAGGAAATAGGGACTGATTTAAGGTTAACCATCGAGCAAAGTGCTGGTGAGGAACAATTCATGCTTCAAAGAAGCAAAGTTTGTGAAGTGTTAAAAATCACTGAATTACCATTATCATCATTGGCAGTCCATCACAGGCAAGAATGACTCTCTCCCACTCTCAGGGTGAGTCTGTAGGTGACTGTACAGACCAATATGGCTACCACAGGATCTGTTACACTTGGAGCAAAAGGTGGTCGTGGGAAGGAGTGGGTAAGGCATTGGTGTGGCAGTGCCCTCTCATGCTGTTTCTGCCTGGCTTCCACTTTCTCCCGGCGGCAAGTCTCAAGGTGCTTGACACCTTCCCAGATGCTCCTCTTCCACTTTGGACAGTCTTGGGCCAGAGATTCCCAGGTGCTGGTGAGAATGCCGCACTTCGTCAGTGAGGTCTTGAGCGTATCCCTGGAGCATTTCCTCTGTCCACCTGGGGCTCGCCTGCCATTTTGGAGCTGGGAGTAGAGCCCCAACTTGGGGGGTTGGCTATGCAGATGACATGCCCAACACATCTCAGTTGATCAAGGGTGGTCAGTGTCTCAATGCTGGGCATGTTAGCCACTGAATTACCAGAGGCTGCTTGGGTCCTGGAAGTCTGTTTGATATTGCTGAAAGGGTTCAGTGAAGGGAATTTTGTTAAAAAGGAGGATTTAACCTAGTTGGGCAGGAAAAGGAGATCCTGTTCAAGCTGGAACGCATTTGAAACTTCAAACCCAAGACTACATTTCTGCTGTGAGTGCACTATTTAGCACCGTATGTCTTCACATAAAGATATGGTTCTGTTCCTGAAAATTGTGACTTTAATTGAAACAGATTTAAGTGAAGTTTGGTTTCCCATAGGAATCAATGTTAAAGCTCAAATAGGTTCCTGCAGACATATTTTGCACAAAAAAAATCCTATGTACTTCCAGCTGAAATAACTCACAAAGTGAAAATGAAACACTAAATCGGTACTTCGGGACATTTTTTAACAAGAAACAACTATAAAACATTTTTCAGTTGAAATGGCGTATATTCCTAAATGCCTACATTAATGAATAAAGCAACTTTTAAAATGAAATAAATTTTGAAATGTGGAACAAACACAGCATATATGTAAGTATGAGTAGTTGCATATATTTCTACAGTTTAAAGTTTGCCTGACAAAAGGTCTCTAACTGGTTGAGCTGAAGAGTGCTAAAAAGCTGAAGACACCAAAACAGGAGCGAATGAGAACATCCAGCCTGAAGATACGATAAACTTCCTCTCTCTATTCATGACAGAAAATCCCAGAAAGCTTAAAAAAAAGAATTCATTTAAGACCTAAGTTCACTTGATAAACCAACGAATCGAAGAACAACCAGCAGCATACAGACAACACTGTCTCAACATTGCGAAAATCAAAACTGGGAGAAAAATAACTTTCCACCTTGTGGTCTGGAGTTTTGGTCTTCAAAGTTTTGTTCACCTGTCACTATTCTTTTTCCAGCCATAGTGTATTGTTCCAACACTAAGACAGACAGCCAAACAAAATCAGCCTTTCTGCTTCTGTATTCACAACACAATTAACTTCAAATCTACAAGGACCCTTAAAATTGACCCCAACGGTTCCTAACCAGACTGTTGAATAACCAATCCCAGACTTTGCAAAAAATCAATTCTTGCCATGGTTTATGGCTTAAACAAAAAAAGGCGTTGCAATTTATGATAATCAAAATAACTTTAGCAGACCAATATTAAACATCAAAGTACTCTATGTGGTGTCTACAATTTAAGTGCAATAACTTTTCCTTTTTGCACCATTCACACAAAAGACAAATATTCACAGTTAAGGGATAAATAAAAGAAAATAACAAAACTGGCCAGATTATTTAAGTGGTTCTCACAATGAGTTGTTCAACAAGCATAATGATGCTTCTTTTGGCTGATTTTCTGAAGATGTTGATCAGGGTTACTCTTATAGTTCACTAAGATAAAGGCAGCAATACTTATAACTTAATTTTATATTGTCTGAACGTCAAAAAGTTGATAAGGGAGGTTACGCTGCCAGCTTTCAAATCTTCATGCTGTAGCTTTAAAAGCCAGATTCCTTCTAACAGAAAACATAGTCCAAAACCCAATTAAAACTCCCACTCCGTGACAGACTGTCTATCTCTTCTATAAGGTCTCAATTACCAATCAACAACTACCATCTGCTTCAGTATAACATCTTTCCCACATTTGCTGGAACCACTTCCCAGGTGGCAGATCTGATTACTACCCAACTTCTGCTCATTATTTAAATATAATGCCTTTCCCCGGTGACAAAGTGTCTGTAGAACCTTTGATCAGGAACCAACCAGCATTTCGAGGCCTGACCTCATGAAGATACAAAATAAATTGTTTGGACTGTTATCCGTTTAACAGAAGCTGTTATCCACAATCCAAAAGTCATCTTTAGCTCACAGTTTCTAGTTCACAGCTCAAACCAAAAACTGATAAAAGAATAAAATAAAAATAATGAAAAGTCTGGTTTAGTCAAGATTGAGTATTTGTGCATATTTTAGAGTTTGAAGCTATATAATTTAAGTTGCATAAATTAGAAATCTTTTATTTTTCCCAATCTTGTTAAAGTTAACTGTACTGTAATCAATAGAGTTACTGAAGAAACCTGGTGTGGTTTGTTTTTGTCCCGAGTAGCTGTCAGTCAGGCAAATTGGGTCTTGGAGGTCTCATTGGGATGTTTATGTTTTAATACATTTTGATGACAATTTATGGCACAGTGAGCATGATTATTGGCACACTATTTTCAGTTAAAGTCACGACACAGTTCAGCCACTATTGCCTTGAATAAATATTATACTGTGATACAGTAGGATGAAATTATGTTCTACGTACATAATGTGAAGTCAGGTGAAATCACAGCAAAACAGGTCAAAAGGTGCAGGTGGTAACACCCAAAACTCAGAAAAGGCTTTGCCTACCTCCATCCCTGCTACCTCTCGGCCTGCTATTCCTTCCACACCAACATACTACTGCATTCCTGGAACCCACTCCCACTTTTCATATGGTAATAGGCCCCGTAAAGCAACAGTAGATGCTCAGAGTCACCCAAATGAGAGGCAAAGGCTCTTTAGGCCCTGCTTCTTCATCTGATTAACAGCAAAAGCTTACAAAGTGAAGAACTTAGTCTTGGTCAAAGTCTTCAATAAGAATTGTCTTTTCAATTTGAAGTGCAATTCTGTCCTTTTAATGTTGCTCACTGCCTGTTTCAGTGACAGAGTGGCAATGCTGCTACAGCACCATTAGGATTGGATTTTTGCTCCCCCTTGATGTTGAGCACCTGGCAGGAGTCTGCATGCAGTTGTAGTGAGTTTGGCTGGGCAGACATAGAGACACTGGTCCATGTATTACACCACCAAAACTTCCCTTCTCAAAAAGTTCACACGTTTTATGTCTGACATCTCAGGGTAAAATGAAAATCTTAGTTAAATGAAAATCAAATAAAACTACTATGCCAGCTAGTATGCCTGAAAGGAAGCAAAATTATGGTTTGCCAATTACTGAAAAACACAGTCATGATATACAGAAATCAAAACTTCTATTTTCTATTTCAGTATTTTAAGGCAATAAGATTTTTTGTATTATTTTTCAGTGAACCCTTTATTCATCTAGATAATCCATGACTAACAACATCGGTGAAAATATCTATATAAACCTTTAATAACACAAAAACAGAATATCATGAACTAAATAAATTACATTACATTTGGGATTTTATGAAAATTATATGTCTAATAAGCAAAAATTGCACACAGTTCACTGAATATTGAGAAAACCGCACTTCAAATTGAGAGATAAATTCTTTGAAACACAAGAAATATTTTTAATTTATGCCAGTTTTTTGAAGTATTTTCCAAAATAGTGCATAGTTCAGATCTGCTACTTTTTAAAGACTGTCGATGAAGGAACTCCTGTCTGACAATATAACTAACGTATTTAACTTCCAAGGTAAATTTATTTATATCAGTCATAAATGTTAATTCATATTGATGAATAGTAATTGTTATTCAGTAATTAGATCAAACTTTATGAAGTAAATTAGCTAAATAAGGTTGAATGACAAAATACATTTCAAACATTACCTGCTTTATTCAAGTTCAGACTCCCACATGTCAGTGGTAACTCCGCAGTCATTCTGCGTGCTCTGGATACAGGAATCGATATTTTGTCTGGACTTTCAAAATTGCTTGGCATGGATAATTCTACAGAGTAGTCAATAACTTTTGGCCCCGTGCACTCTGTTGCTAAGGTGTGAAGCAGCTTTTTCTACACAAAATAATATTTATCATTATAAATCATTTGTAATATCTAATGCAATATGATTTTACAAGTCTACTTATGACAAAATGAAATATTTTCTGCATATACATTTCTATATTATTGGCTTCTTTTTTACATATTAAGTCAAAAGAGAAAAGTCTGCTCAGTCCCTGTTTTGACAAAACAACCTGACAAAATAGACTTTCAATTGAAAATGTGTCTAGACCTCATCTTTATTGCTTTAAAAGTCCGAGGGATATAGAAATTAATGCTTGCATCATACAACTGGTTCAGACATTCATCACTACATCAAGCATTAACAGACCCATCAGTCTTATTCTGCCAAAGCTGCTCACTAATCCAGGGTCATTCAGTGATGCAACAAATAATCCCTGGCTTCCTTCTCCAGTGGTATCCATCTCTGCAAACTGAACTTCTTCATGAGTCCCACTCTCCAGCTTTCAATCCTATTCCCACTAAACTACTGATGAATCAACTTTCTGTTCTCTTCTCCAAGCTGATATCTTAAATGTTCCCTCTTCTAAGGTGCATCCACCCTGAATCCCAATGTGGTTTCAGGACTAGAATACCTACAACAGGAAAACATGTCATGGTCCAGGATGTTGACATTTTAACCATCAATTAGTATTGACAATGTGACACTGGAGGTGGTTGATAGCTTCATGTATCAAAAGATTTCTGGTGCTTGAAGTACTATCACTTGTTGCTGAAATCAGCACCCAGTGAAGAAAGGCTGCAACCTTTGTCTCTAACTTGTGTAAGAGTGTGAAACAACAGTAACAAACTGTGAGAATACCAAGCCTATGGCCTTCGTGCATTCTTCCATTCGGGTGATGCCTGGGCAACATATGATGGGCAAGAGATAAAGCTGAACACATTCCATCTTCCCTGTCACAGATGTATACTCAACAACTTTTCAGCAGGACAAGGGCACCAAATCAAAGAACTTGGAACATGCTAGCTCCATCAGCACATTCTCATTGCCAAGTGATTGACCAGTGCTGGCTCAGCCACATGCATCCAGTCACATGTCCAAATATCTTCTTTGCAGTAAACTGGCCATTAGGTGACAACCACCTGGGTGTCCAAATTGCCACTTGAAGGACAGTTGCAAGTGAGATATAAAGGTAACGGACGCTAACCCTGACAACTGCTGCTGATGTGAGTCTCTATAGGCTGGCTTTTTGGAAGGGCATTGGAGGAGGAAGAAAATAAAATGCTCAGAAAGCTGAGATTAGGACCTGGAAGAAAGTGAGGCCAGCAAAACCTGCAGTTTTGCAACCCACTGTCTTTCTGATGTAGCACAGACTGCCATGTCAAAGTGAAGTTTCTGAGTCGCACCAAAAAACACAGGTGACCATTGTGGCACAAGATATCATCTTATGATGGAAGGCTCCCACCACCACTTTTATGCACAGGTCCCTACAGATAGTGTGGCAAATAAACGCAGTGGTAAAGAAGACATATGGATTGCTTTGCTTCATTAGGTGAGGTATTGAATTCAAAATCAAGGATAGCAAAGCTAACACACATAAAACACTTGTTAGGTCACACCTGGAGTTTTCTGTACTGTTCTGGTCACCATATTACATGATTTCTTTAGAGAGAGACTGCAGAAACAAAACTTTTTCCAGGGCTTGAAAATTACAGGTCTGAGATACGATTGGATAAGTTCAGCTTATTTCCTTTACAACAGGGGAGGCTAAAGATGACTTAACTGAGGTGTACAAATAATTAAGGCCTTTGATAGAGTGGACAAAGAAGACATGCTTTCCCCTAATGGAGGGGTCAGTGCCAGGAAGCACAGATTTAAGACAACTTCTTGAAGGATTAAAGTGGATACGAGGAAGAATCTTTGCACATAAAGGGTGGTCAGTGTTCAAAATTCATTACCTAGTTTGGTGGTTGAGGACGAAGCCTTGAACTCATTTAAAAAGTACCTGGATCTGTACACAAAACACAGTAACTTTCAAGGCTACAGATCAGGTGCTGGAAAGTGGGATCAAAATGGGTCACTAGTTTATTCTGCCTGTGCAGATACAATGGGCTGAATGGCCTCTTTCTGCACATTCTGTTGGTCTGATAGAGCCAGTACTGACCAAGCTGGTCAAGTCCAAATGGACATAGCTGCCAGACTGTGACTGTTGTAGGTGGCAAGGGAACCAACAACGGAGAAAATATTTCTGAAGAAGGGTCTAGGCCCGAAATGTCAGCCTTCCTGTTCCTCTGATGCTGCTTGGCCTGCTGTCTTCATCCAGCTCTACACGTTGTTATAACGGAGAAAATAAACTGCTTGGCCTTATCCTTACTAATCTACCCATTGCAGATGTATCTGTCTATAACAACAGGGTTGACCCACGCACAGTTACTGTGGAGATAAAATTCCATCTTCACATTGATGACATCCTTCATCATGTTGTGTGGCACTAACAAATTGGACAGACTTTAAACAGATCTAGAAACTCAAAACTCTGCATCCACAAAGTGCTGTTGGTCATTGGCAAAAGCAGGATTGCATTCAACTACAATCTCTAACCTCATGGCCCAGCATATTCCCCACTCTACCATTACCATCAAGCTTGGAGATCAGCTCTGGAGCGATGAAAAGGGCAAGTTCTGTCATATTCAATCATAAACAGTGATGGATAATTGACCAACTATCAGGAAGAGTAAGTGCCACATATATCCCCAGCCCCAATGATGGGGGAGGCCTGCACATCAGTGCAAAAGATAAGGCTGAGACATTTGAATCCACCTGACCACAAACGCTATGGGCCCTGACAACATTCCAGCAACAGTTCTGAAGACTTGTGTTCCAAATTGGCCCCACCCTTAGCCAAACTGTTCCTGAACAGCTACAACACTAACATCTACTCAACAATGTGGAAAATTGCCTAACTGTATCCAGTCCACAAAAAGCAGGCAAATTCAACCTGGTCAACTACCACCCTATCAGATTACACTCAATCATCAGAAATGTGATGGAAGGGAACATTAAGAGTGCTTTTAAGCAACAATTGCTCATCAATAACCTGCTCACTGACATTCAGTTTGGCTTCTGCCAGGGTCACTCAGCTCCTGAGCTCATTACAGCCTTGCTCCGAAAATGGACAAAAGAGCTGAATTGCAGAGGTAAGGCGAGAGTGACTGCTCTTGACATCAGATCAATGTTTGACAAAGTATGGTATCAAGAAGTGAAAACAAAAAATGTTGGAAATCACAGCGGGTCAGGCAGCATCCATGGAGAGAGAGCAAGCTAACGGTTTGAGTCTATATGACTCTTTGAAACGATAGCTTGCTCTCTTTCCAAGGATGCTGCCCGACCTGCCTTGATTTCCAGCATTTTTTGTTTTCAGTACGGATTCCAGCATCTGCAGTAATTTGCTCCTGTGTGGTATCAAGGAGCTCTAGCAAAATTAGAGTCATTGGTTATGATGCCACCTGATGATAATATTGGACAAGTCAGATCCCACAATTAAACGTGGCCTAACAGATCATACATTTAAATTTTACACTTGGTTAAAATGGTGATTAGTCACCAAAACATTTTCACACAAGACTGCAAATGATCTTTAACATGAAAATATAAGATTTCCACTCTAAAGAAGGGGAAAAAAAGGTATATGTGCAGTACTGTTAGAACAACCTTAACACATAAATCAAAACAAAATTTCAACCTGTTCCCAACGCCATCTGTTACAGAAACTCAAAACTAAAGAAATTATATTCCTTTCTCTACTCTTTGTGTGTCTACTTAAGGGCTCTGGAGTGTCAAAAAGAACATTCCTCTGAATATGCATCATATCTACCTACAGTGCGAGAAACCTAATAACATATTGATTCACTTGAGGTGAAACTAAATCTGCATTAAGTTCAATTCATAACCACAATAAAGGTGAAATTAAATCACTCAGAGATAGCAAGAACTGCAGATGCTGGAGTCAGAGACAACACAGTGTGAAGCTGGAGGAACACAGCAGGCCAGGCAGCATTAGAGGAACAGGAAAGTTGACATTTCAGGTCGGGACCCTTCTTCAGAAATGGGGGAGGGGTAGGGAGCTCAGAAATAAATAGAGATGAGGAGTGGGACTGGGGAAGGTAGGTGGGATGGTGATAGGTGAATGCAGGTAGGGAGTGGTGGGGATTGGTCAGTGAGGTGGGAGGAGCAGATAGGTGGGAGAGAAGATGGACAGGTTGTGTCAGGTCAAGGAGGCGTGGATGAGAGGGAGGGTTGGATATGGGATGAGGCCGGGGGTGGGAAGATTTTATAACTGGTGAATTCCACGTTTAGGCCATTGGGTTGTAGGCTCCCGAGACGGAATATTCGGAGCTGCTCCTCCAGTTTGTGGGTGGTGTCATTGTGACACTCAAGGAGGCCCAGGAGGGACATGTCACCCAGGGAGGGGGAGTTAAAATGGTTCGCGACTGGAAGGTGTTGTCGTTTGTCACATGCAGAGCACAGATGCTCCCCAGGACAGTCTCCGAGTCTCCACTTGGTCTCATCACTGTAGCTGTTAAGATCATAAAAACATGAAACTATGTACATGGATTATAGAAACATAAAGGAATATACCTCCACAAACAATTAGTAACAGACCTTGTACCACTGTCACTGATGTCAAAAATGTCTAATGTATGTGATGCTTCCTGCTCACCAGGATGATGATAAAATGTCAAAATAAGCAGCACGAGAAATGAGAAGAGTTTTTGAGAAACTGTGGCAGATGTTCCTACCTGGGTGCAGCAGGGACTGGAAGCTGCAACTGAAGCTCGGACACTGCTGCTTTCCAAAGTTCCTGCAATTTTTCTGCGTTTGTATTCTGTTTGTGACATCTGTTGCTGTCCTGCAATTGCCAAAGCTTTCTCTTTGGCTTCATTAATCAATGGAATTTTCACTTCTTGATCGAAGGTACGGTTGGCATTACATTTGTAGTGTAGAATTACTTGCGTTGCATTCTTGTTATCTGAAACCAAAAATGTACTTCTTTAAGACTCATTTAATTTTGAACATTACAGAAATTTGAATTCAGAAGACTTTAGTAAGAAGTAGATAACACCTCGCCCAATAAAGTGCCTCTTTTGGACCGATCTTAACCTAGGCATTCTGCTTTCTCAATCCAATTGTTCAATCTTTTATTACAGAAACAAATCTCCAAAAGTCCCTGCAAGTTGGCAAAGAAAAATATGTCGAATAACCATATATCTTTCCAGGAAATGGTGTCATCCAAACTTCTCAGTAAAATGAGATTCTAGTTTAGTTGTAACAAGAAGTTTCAATATAGTTCACAGTAAGGCAAGGAAATAGGCACCCATCTCTGAAGACAGAAGTTAGGAAGAATGATAAAAAGCTCTGTGAAAGAATATATCTTGAGCAGGGTTTTCAAGCTGAAGAAAGCTTTGGAGCAGTAAAAGATTTAAGGGAAAGACAAGTTGGGCCAACTCAGTGGATCTGGATGAGGAAGACCCAACCCCACTTCCAGCAGATGCCATTTGTACTGGGAAGGAAATGGGGACTGCAGGGAGGAAATCACAAATGTGTTAAACAAGAATCTGTTGGGCCTTTTAAAATTGAGTTGAAATAGACCTTATTTTCACAGTTCTAAGACCTGAAAATGGAGGCATAAGCACGTCAGAAGGCTAGAATTATGTGTTTCTCCCTTGCACAGAATTCTGGAAGTAACATTTTAAATACTGAAGAGGTGGTGGCTGATTACAAGAGTGCCATGGAAGATGAAGACCAAATCTATGTTGCCCTATGGATTATTCCTTACTTGAGGCAAACCACATGGGAGTCAGGACAAGCTCTCTGATATAACAATAAGTGAAGGAAGGAAGTTGGAAAGAAATGGGTGCAGCACCTTCCCACAGACAGGCAACAGAGGAAGATGTGACTTGAGGTAGGGTATCCAGGAAGGAAGTTGCAGAGCAGCAGGAAAGAGATAGGGAAGGAGATACTTCTTTCAGGACAGGATATACAACAGCCAAAGGTGATCCCTCAACATGACTGAAAAACAGTGGAGGCAAAGGTTCTAAACTTCAAAATAAATAGTTACAGACATCTTTTCCATAGTGGAGCAAAATTTTGCACAATCAACTGATTCCCATGCTCTGCCTGTTATACCCAAGGTTACAATAGCTCTCATTTGTATTTGGTGTGACAATACTATGACTTAAAGAGGTGTATCTTGTCCTTTTTTTTGAAGGGAGGCTTTGAGCCAAAGGTGCTGATCTGTCTCTTGCAGCCAATAAAGTAAATAGTTTGAGAGGCCTTGGGGATTTTTAAATTAAAGTTGGAACAATAGTAGCAACATGAATGTGTAGTATCAGGCTCCCATAGAACCAGAGTTTTAGTTTAGCTTTCAACAGTTGTTGGGAGTTTGGAAGCTGTCTTTCTCTCTCTCTCTTTACCAGAATTTTCTCTCTGTGACAGCAAAAATCTTTGATTCTCTTTCTGCTGCCAGAATCTCATTTGTGACCATCTGTTTTACTGACTTTGCCTTTGCCAAGGGTGTGTTTGTAGGATGTTACTATATTGGAACAGTTGCTATTTAATATTCTATTATTCTGTTAAGTTTTACAATCGAGTTGAAGTTACGCCAGTTTTTCTTTCTTTTGTTTGTATTTTAACTGGGGATAAGAATAAAGTTGTTTTGCTGAAAGATGAGTAGTGTGACCAATTGAATTACATCTGGCACACAGCACCTTACACTTGCCTTTAAATAAGATAAAAGTTAGGATCTAGGCTATCACCTTGAGTTTGGTCCGATCTATAACATTAGCCAGTTGCATTCTTCCTCTGTGGCCTCCGTCAACTACCAACTAAAGCATCGAACATTGTCAACCATTATATTCTTTTCCCAGATGAAGGAGCACATCATCTCGCCAAAAGACATTGCATCGTGGACACAGAGGGCAAAAGGCCCCGCCTCTGTAGCTAGCATATCACATCAGTATAGAGGCACCAATGCAACTCCCGGAAACTAATGAACAGAAAATTATGCCATTCCATCAATGTACAGGTCATGTGCAGTCACACTAATGCTTCCCTGTATGTTTGTGCACATTCCCTTGGGAAGGCACTATGACTCATTAATTCAGATGCAGTATGCCTGCAACAACCTTTCCCTATGATTGGGTTGCCATGATGATGTCATGGTGAACATTAGTCACAAGGAAGCTTTGACTAGTGAACAAACGATGATATTTTTCACTGATTATTTCTATAACATTTATAGAATTTGGTGAGTATTTGAAAAAACAGAAAGTTACATTTTAATAACTTGTTAAAAAAAGTGCTTTCTAAGGCAGTGAAGTTACAGCCAAAACCAAAATCTTGCACTTTCAAATCTCAGTTATTATGGATATTCAATCATCTCACCAATAGTTATCAGGACAAGATAACTGAACACAGGCCTTTCTGGATATGAAACCCAAGATGTGTGCCTCTACGAGGCTGCTTCTGGAAATATTTATTCTGAGAAACATTTTCCAAAGCAAACTTTTTTAAACTGTATGGAGACAACTTCTGAAATTACTTTATACCTCAATCAATTGATATTCCAATTTAATATACCACTTGTTCCTGTATATTTACAAACAGAAGTTACAAACAGTTGAACTTGCAAAACAAAGTAAAATCTTACGTACAGTACATATAACAAAATAAGCGGGGTTTAAATTTAATCCACCTCAAGTGATGATGAATATTCAATATGGTGAACATGAACCTTGGGCTGCAGCATTTAGTAGATGATAGCACATCAGCAGGCCATTTTCTTCTATGCTCAATGTTCTTTTGTATTGTAGCTTTTTTTTTTACTGTGGCCCAAGATTAATTTCTACCACTTGTTGTTTTCACATCCAAAATGAATTCTCCAAGAATTGTATTCTTGGTTGTTGTTGAATAGTTACTACCAGAAAATAAGAGCTTCTGTACCCGAAGCAGCACAGTAGTTCGGTATTGCATCAGGACCGGACACTTCTAATCCAGTAGAAGGCAATGGTATGCAGCCAGTTCCTTCCAAACAGTACACAAATTCTCCAATCTATAAAAACAAATGAAATAATTTAATATTGAAAGTAGAATACACTCATAACAAAAGTGAATGAAAAACCTATTTGCATGAATAAATCAAATCAAAAAGAACTTTTTGTGGAAATGTACATATGAAACAACACGGGTGTTGTTTTGGGTGTACCCTTTCATCTATGAAGTTACAGAAGACTCTTGTGACAGGTTGATCACACAGAACAACCACTACTTTCTATTTTTCTTGAAATATTTTTTCATGTCTCATGAAATAGTGCAACATAGATGGGCATGCTTTACTAAGCTGTAGCATCTTCATTTAGAGTTGAAAGGATGTGGAGTCCAGTGCTACTTCAGTCACTTAGGAACATAATCTACTCTGAAACATCAATGCAGGACTATGCAAGTGCTGCACTGTCAGAGGTGCCTAATTTCTGGTGGGACATTAAGCATATTATGGTCAATTGATAAAAGATCCCATGGCATTCCTTCAAAGAAGCCAGGGGAAATTTTCCTGGAATCCTGGTCAACATTAATCCATGAACAAATATCACCAAAACAGGAACAATACGTGGATTTTGTGGTAACATTCCCACCTCTAAGTCAGCAAATGCAATGTCTTAAACCCCAGTTTGAGACAGCCCAAGAGAGTGGAGATCAGAGCTCTAATGCTGAATTCTGGGAAAACTTCTAGCCAGATACTCCTATCCACTGGGTGTAGGATGGACTCATTATATGGATAGAGAGCACATAGAACCATCCTGTCATATAGGATTACTCAGCCTTTTCTGTTGATATAATGGCATTTATGGTCACAGAAAGAGAATGCATTGAACAGTTCGTGAGCACTTTCACTATCTTCAAAATACTGGAATAACCACTGAAATAGATCATCTGACATTTATTTCATTGCTGTTTATGAAACATTGAAATGTGCATTTTTAAAATTAATTATAGTGACAACATGGCAAAAATAGCATCTAGGACCTTCGGATGTGCCAGGAACTTGAAAGATACAAAATGAATGGAAAGCTATTTATCCTTTGGTTCCGGCTTTCAGCTGCAGTAAATTAATGAATTTAACTCATTAATGAAATTACTGCTGATCGTTGTTATAAAATGCCAACAAATGCTAGAAATATAAAAGTAAAGATTAAGATTTTGGAAAGGCATATTAGATAGATATCCTTGAAAACATTAAGGAAGGGTGAAAACATTCTAATGAGTTAAGAATATAAAATACAAGTTCAAGAAAAACATCAGATAGAGTCTAATGACAACTAAAAATGGTTTAATAAGCCATTGCTACTGTAGTGTTCATTGGATCACCACAGAATGTATACTGATGAATGATCATGGAAGTGTCATGCATTGGCAAGTATCTACGAGATGCAATTGAGGTGGACAGTATCATGATTTGGCATGAAGGAAGAATGGGTGTCATGGTTAAGATGTTGTGAAATTACCTTTTAGAAGTTTCTCAAATCTAAATGACAGTTCACATCTTCTCTGAAGGGCTGTGAACCATGAGTCCTTGAGAAGCTGGCTTGCTTCCACAGAAATTGCACAGAGCTAGAAGATGCCTACCCTAGTAATAGAGCCAATTAGGTCGTGATTTCAAACGTTTCCCGTGCCAGGAAAACTAAGGGAACCGAAAGTGGGGAAATTAGCAGTTTGAATACTGGAATTAGATTTGCCTGTCATCTTTAAAGATCCACAGAGTTTCCATGGCTGCAAAAAATCGAGCCTTTCAGTTCCAAGACCCTCAGGGGGATGTCAGTAATGTCAAGCTGTAGAACTGGAATTGCCTTAAACCGTCTATTTAATTCCAAGCTAGATTGGAATTCAGGACTTTTAAATATAGCTAATTAGAATTTCTATATGCCATCATATTCATATTACCACAGAGAAGCGAACAGGCCATCGTAAGTCATTGTACTATAAACTTATTGGATCTTCTTAACACATATGAAGATATAAATTAGCAGAAGTAGGCCATTCAGCCCTTTGAACCTGGTCTGCCGTTGAAGATCATAGCTGTTTTACTGTAACCTCAAATCTACAATCCCAACTACCCCTGATACTCTCATTCTTACTCACTGTCACAGAGGTTAAGAGTAAGAGAGAGTGAGAGACAAGGATTTCAATTAATAATCAAAATGCCAAAAGGAAAAGCCAGAAGAAATATCTTCATGTAGTGGCTTGTTAGGACAATGAATAAGACAAAATCTAAGCAGAGAGGTGTAGAATGTAGTTGATCAAGTTTCATGGGAAAAAAAATACAAGAATTTGATTGGTTACTTTTGTGATGCTTACTAGATGCTTTTTTCAGATTTTTTGTTTCTATACTAAAATTTAGTTGCAATAGTTTTCGATTGATTTAAAAGCCCCTTTCAACTTTACATAAGAATTTTTTGTTTTATTCGTTCACAAGATGTGGGATCACTGGCTGGGCTGGCATTTATTGTCTTATCCCTGGTTGTCTTTGAGGTGTTGGTGGTAAGTGGTCTTCTTATCCACCACAGTCCACTTGCTGTAGGTAGACCCACACTTCTGTTATGGAAGGAGTTCCAGCAACACTTAAGTAACTGTGTTATACTTCCCACTCACTGTCCAAATTCCGTGAATGAATAAAAAATACTTAATGCCTCCTGCAGACATTTTTGCTCTATAGACACATACCAGGAGCAAACCATTTGCATAAAACTTCATTGATAGCTTTGAAACAATAACTAATATGAATGATCTCCCTTCAACTTTCTCATTACTAAATCTCAAGAAACTTTTAATTTAATCACAGTTATTGGGAAACATTCCTATACAAAGGAAGTCTGTGACAACCTCATTCAATATGTTGTGAATTTGTTTCACGTGCAGGGTACTCCTGAACCCCAAATAAGGTATATATTTTAAATCTTCATTATGTGTGAAAAATGTGAGTTTCATTATTGTTTAAGTTGCAGCTATAATGCAGCCTGTATATACTCCAAATTATGAGCCTTTAGTCAGCATATTGTTCAAAAGTTTTCCTTTTTAACTCCATGAATTCAACACTGAGCAGAGTACTGACAGTAAGCAACATTAATTTCTATACCCTTTCTCCAGAAGGAGCAAAAATTCATAGCTATTTAAGCTGATCTTGGGAGTTGTTAAGATTGTTCTGTAGGAATGCAATTGCAGAATCAAACACTTCTTGAACATTTACTTTGGAGACTTTGAATCAAAACTAAGCCTTTTGATATTTAAATCTGTCATTCAGATCAATTTCACAAATATTTATTGAGTCCCAGATTTTTGGCTTTCTTAAGTGAAATTAAGTGTTACTCAATGTATTTCAAACAGTAATCCAAGCACAGTACAAAGAAACAGGATGGGTACAAAATCAAAATTTTCTCAGTGACACAAGTATCATTTCATAGCAAGGCAACTGTAAACATTACTTCAAATTGTATTAGTCAAATATATTAGCTTATAAATATCGAACAGAACTGGTACTTTTGGACTCTTTGTAATCGATTTTAAATTGTTGGTAGTTAGCCAGAGGTGTGAGAAAGAGTTGTTGGACCTAACATGGACCAGTTGTAACACGGTGTAAGTTCTTTGGACCTCAGCATCCATATTATAATGGGCTTTCATTGTACATTAGGTCAAAGTCTATTTTCATTATTGCAGCTGGAGAAAGTTTACCAGAGAAACTAAAATCACCTTCCAATTATATTCCACTTATAATTTTAAAAAATATAATACCTGTTCATTCATTAACAAAATGGTACAATAGGATTTTCCTGTGTGAAAGGGAAGATAAAGAACTTCCAAGACTGAATAACGCTTCGGCTCGAAATGCAATGATTCGATTCCACAGAAGAACTCTGACACCCAATTCGCTTGGAGAGCTGGAAGCAAAGATGGATTATTTTAGTGAACAACGTCCTGAAATCTCAGAGGAGTGGCAATTACCATTGGATGAGTTTTCTACTCAAACTTCTTCTGTTCCAACCAAGCTCCACACTCCTGCCAGGACTTTGAATCCCAGAGTTGTCAGGAACAAAGAGCATACCTTAATTTAGAGTCATTCAGCATTGAAATAGACCCTTTGGTCAAGCTAGTCCAAGCCGAAAATCTTGGGATACTTATAAAGCTTTTCAATGGATTTCTGAATTAGGGTCAGTACATAAAAGTCTGAATGGGTCAATGGATGCATCTGCAGCTGTGAAATCAATGAGTATGGGTATGTTATATGGGTAAGGGTAGGTGAGGTAAATTGGTGAAATGGTTAATGAATTAGAGTTTGGGTGGATTGGCAGTCGGATCAGGTCTTGTTGTCAGTTCCGGAAGCTATTCAGGTCAGGTCATGGGGGTGTCAGGGAGAGAATCAGATGGTGGGGTTAGTTCAGGGAATATTGGAGTGTTGCAATGGTAGGGAACAAGATTGCAGGGGTAGTTGTAATGCAGAGAAACATTACGTAGGCCAAACTGGAAAAAAACTGACAATAAGGATACATGAACACCAACCAGCCACCAAGAGACACAACCAATTCCCATTGGTCTTAATACGCATGGACAAAGAAGGACACAAATTCAACTGAGACAACACATTCATAGTAGCACAAGCCTGGAAGCACAAGGTTGGAAGCCTGGCATTCCAACCGGAACTCCATCAACAAACACGTTGAACTGGACCCGATATACAAACCACTGAAAAACAGAACCAGAAGTAATGCCAACCATCCCAGCAAACCGAAGCATATAAATAACAAGCGGGACAGAACACCAACGTTTCACCAGAGGTGCAATGACAATGTTACCTAGCAGGCTGACGAAACATCTGCAAACAAACACACCGGCTCAGAAAGCAATTCTACAACCTCAAGTCAGTTGTATGGTTACCCATGCATTAAGACTAGGAATTTTCCAGCTAACATTTGCTGGGTAACTATCCAGGAAAATCAGAACAATCACATTAACTCAGTATTGAAAGCTTCTTTGGACGGTCCCAGGGAACAGAGAAATTATTTGTCAGAGGTTTGATCCTCACAGACAATTCCCACTGAGTCAGTGTATCGGGACTTCCATGGGGTCTCAACTCACATTTTTGGTCCAATCTCCAAATTTCAGAAGTCTGGGCCACTTTTGCTCAACAGGACAGAATTCAAAAAGTATCCATTTCTTTTTAAGATGTATGATAAATTATACATGAGTCAGCGCAATAATTTAGTGTCATAAAATTCACAAGTATTCAAAGAAAACTAGATAACTAAATTAATTGTACTAAACAGAGAAACCATGTAAGAAAACTCATTTACCAAATTGTGTACTTAGGGTGACAGGAAGGTCAGTTTAAATATTTTGAGCAAGTATCTGAGCTAATAGGAAGAACATCTTGACACACATAAGAACTTCAGACTTTAATCTCTCTCCTTTAAACCCCCAACCCTATATGCTGCTATTGTTCTTTGTCTGGAAGAAAGGAAGCAGGGTCTGAATTAAACCCCTTTGTCAAGGGGTTGAAAACCAAAAATAAATAAAATCAGAAGTTCAGCATGGTCATAAATTTGTGCCAACTTTTCCATTTTAAAAAATTTACACATTCATATTTGAAATGGAAATGCAGTACATCCCATTGTGGTGCCACGTTATCATTTCCTCCATCCCAAAAAATATTCAAAGATGCAACAGGTTGCTGCTCCCCCCACCTTATCTAACTGGTACTGGCTGTCACTTCCATTACTGTTTTCTCAGAGGTGGTGTCTGAACACCGTGCTGCCAACTAAAAAAAAAACCCAGCCAATTCATGACTATGTCCATCTCTCACAGTTCCAGAATCAGCTATCAATCACAATTTCCACCCAGATTGAGAGCTAAGCTTTGACCAAGTGGCTTAGCATTATCCTGTTTTAAAAAATGAGCCATTCATCAGCAATGAATGGATGAATGTTTGAAGATTACCAAAAGTGTTACTAACTCAACAACACCTCTCAGAGGGCCATTGTAGACAATACCTATGATAGCTTGCATCTAAGAAAACATATTAAAGCAGTTCTTTTTTCACATGGTCTCCAACATTTCAATTCTTTGAAGTGTGGGAAAGCTTATTTTGCAAAGACTTACAGATTTTCTGGCCCGTGTTTTGGTTAATCACTTCATTTCCGAAATCATTATTTCCAAATCCACCTGGTTCAGGTTGTAAGTCACTAAAAACAAGTCAAATAATTATTCACGTGTAACATTCAAGGACCTAAATAAATAAATGCACAAAAATAAATGTATTCAACTTACAAACTTTAAATGTGTCTTTCTATGAAATGAAGATGTTACTGAGATCTATACCAAGTAATAACAGAGAAAACAGCTGAAGAAGTGCAGTGGCACCCTTATATCGTAAATCTCTAAGGTGCTGGCCTCAGATGTCCTTATTTTTAAAATAGTCATTGGTCTGAATTTTCTGAAAGCAGCAATTATGATCAGGTTGCTGATCTTGCTCCTGCTTTCTTACCCTGTGCAGTGTAGCTTCCATCTAAGTAAACCCTCATGGAGTAGGATCATCAAAAGAGTGTGGAAGCCAAGTTATTTCCCTTTTTTTTTTAAACAGTACTAGCGGCTGTATTTTGCTAACGAAAACTGCTACAGATCAAAAATCCTCATTTAAAGCTATTTAAAAAATACAGAGTGAAGGTAAATGTTAAAAGTCGATGGTGGCATGACAGATGAGCGAGTGATTTTGTGGTGGAAGGTGCTCCTTGCATGACGAGTGACAGATTGGTGAGATCGAGTGGTAGATTACTGAGGAGGATAGGACAGTACGTGAGCTTAGGTGATCTTGGGTCAGGTCAGCTCAGGGAGCATGTCTGAGGTATCATGGTAGTATCATGAGAGGGATGGGTCAGGGGTGGGGGTCAGGTCATTGGATGACTGATGTGGGCAAATTGAACCAGGTCTGGCTAATTCAGGAGAGGAAGGATTGGGTCAAGTTGGGTCAGTGGTTCAGATCCAATTGAGCAAGGGGAGAGTATCAGGTCAGTTGGGACTGGGGAGGGGATGTCAGGGTAGATTCAGGTGATGAACCCAAGAGTTGGAAACTATTTCTTTTAAAGAAGTTCCAGACATTGTGTAATTGCCCATCAGAAGATTAAACTTCCTGAGCAATTCCTGTGAAGTTCAGAATGCTGGGGATCCTTAGGACCGAAATTTCAGAGTATATTGCTGCAATAACTATCTTCCAATCAGAAGATCTGGATCATTGTATTTTTCAGTAGATTAGGGAGTCCTTCACCCAACAAACATAGCAGCAAATAAACTGCTCAATCCCTGGGGTAGTTTCTCTGCTGATGTGAATGCTAGACCAAGATAATCGCATTCCACAAAAACTCCATCTTTCACAAGCTTTGCTGCCCACTTGTATTTAGCTATGTAACCCGTGCTGTAAACTACAAAAAGGTTTAGTGCATTGAATGGTTTCCCTAATGAATAATCTGAGTCATAATCCATGGTCCCAGGGTGGTGCCTGTACATTTTGCCATGTTGGTCATTTAAGTATCACAATATGTCCACCTTTGGCAGGACTCTGTTTCTTGGTAGTGTTCTTTTCCATTGGCTTTCACTGAAGGAAAGAGGGGACAGTGTCATTGTGTGAGTCAAACTTCAGGAGTGAATGGGAATCTTGAGACCCCAGTTATCAGGAGAAAAATTGGTGCCGCAATGTTCTGGGAGGCAGCCTTGGTTTTGGTCACCATCTCATTCTCTGATGGCCCCAGTGCTGGCAATCAGAACATCAACAACCTGAAGCCGCAGCGCCTCACTAGGAGAGGTAAGCAATGCTGAGGCAGATTGCAGACACAGCAACAAGAAGGCACCCTCAGAGGCAGGAACCATAACCTAAACTTATATAAGTCTAAGCCAATAGACCCTTTAGAGTGGATAGAACACCCATCCAGAGGAATAATTTTTGCCTTGGCATGGCCTTAAACATCTTAAATGGATATTCAGTTCTAAGGCATAGCCAATCCTATCACAAAGTGGGAACATTGCCAATGGTGGGAATAAGTCAGGAAGCCATCATGACATGGCCCCCCAATCACCACCCATTGTATTTTCTCAGCTCTGCCTCCATGTCAACCTCTAAAATAGAACTGAAGTCAAATCATTTCTTTATTGCTCAAAAACCAAAATTTCAAATGTACAAAATTGAAAGGTTGAAATAAAACAGTCCCAGTACTTGCATTACATGTGGTTAGTGAGGGTAGCCATCATCCCAGCCAATTAACATCAGCCATTCCATACTATCAATGACATAACGTAGAGGTTCCGGTGTTGGATTGAGGGTGGGCAAGGTCAGAAATCACACGACACCAGGTTATAGTCCAACAGGTTTATTTGAAATCACAAGCTTTCAGATCCTCAGTCCTTCAGATGTTAGTAAGAGAGGTAGTATCAGACACTGGATTTATAAATAAAAGATCAAAGGTTCACAACATTAATGTGAATGTACTAAACAACCTAAGATGCTGTTAAATCTTCAATCTGTTAGAAGGCTTTAATTGATTAATATGTATACATAAATCCCAAGTCACAGTCCTGAGAGAACTAAAGATTTTATTGTTGTAAAGAAGAGGTGACATTTTAGGTCAGACAATGCTTGTTAGGTGTGAGGCTTCGTTTAAAATCTGATTGTGTTTTAGTTTGGAGTCAGACTGGTTTTATTTCTAAAGTAGGAATTTAAAATTATAAATATATAAAAGTATAAAAGCGGTCATGGGCATTCGGCCTCGGATCTTCAGGTCAACATCTTCCGAGGCGGACTTTGGGATACACAACAATGCAGAGTCGCCGAGCAGAGGCTGATAGCTAAGTTCGGTCCCCATGAGGATCTTGTGTTCATGTCGCACTACAGGAGAACCCACCATACTACACACGCATGTGCACACATTCGCTCTCGCTCTCTCTCCCACGTGCGCACTTGCTCTCTCTCCCACGCCCACACGTGCACACTCACACTCGCTCTCTCTCCTGTGACCACACGCACACTCACATTCGCTCTCTCTCCCGCGTGCACGCACACACACTCTCTCTCCCGTGCCCGCGCGCGCACTCACACTTGCTCTCTTTCCTGTGCCCGTGCGTGCGCACTCACACACACTTTCTCTCCCGTGCCCATGTGCACGCACTCACACACTCTCTTTTCCGTGCTTGTGCGTGCGTGCTCACACTTTCTCTCTCTCCCGTGCCTGTGTGCGCGCTCACATATTCTCTCTCTCCCATGACCATGCGCGCGCACTCACACTCGCCCTCTCTCCTGTGCCCACGCACACACTCACTCGCTCTCTCTCCCGCGCTGGCACGCACACACTCACTCTGTCTCCATTCTCCCCCAACACACATCCTCCCTCAGACACACACTTTCTCCCTCCCCAACACACACACACACACACACACACTTTCTCTCTCCCCCAACACACACACTCATTCTTTCTCTCTCATTTCCTCTCACAGACATGCGTGCGCACACACGCGCACACACACACACAATGAATCTATGGGGTGAATTTATATTTACAGATACATTCTATTTTGTTCAAAAAGCACACAACTTATTGATAGTCAGTCAATGTGGCGTTTTATAAATTCTTGCATTAGAAATAAAACCAGTCTGACTCCAAACTAAAACACAAACAGATTCTAAACAAGGCCTCACACCTAACATGCATTGTCTGACCTAACATGTCACCTCTTTTTGACACTGATAAAATCTTTAGTTCTCTCAGCACCATGACTCAAACGAATTCTGGGATTTACATATACATATTAATCAATTAAAACCTTTCACTGATTAAAGATTTAACAGCATCTTAGGTTTGTTTAGTATATCCTCATCAATGGTGTGATCCTTTGATCTTTTAGTTATAAATTCTGTATCTGATACAACCTCTCTCACTGACACCTGAAGAAGGAGTAAGACTCCAAAAGCTTGTGTTTTCAAATAAACCTGTTGGACTATAACTTGGTGTCATGTGATTTCTGATCAATGACATAGGCAGCCTCTATAACATATTAAATGCTCCAGCTATAATAGGCAAATTCAGCTGCTCACTCAACTCTTCATACCTCATTAAGGTGCAAATGCCTTAGTTTAATCCCTTGTCATCTTAGCTTGGGTTATTGCTACACACAGCACTGACTGTAATTACAAGAATGACTGGAAAGAGAACTGTGAGTCAAAACAAAAATGAAATCCCCAAATAGCACGATTATGTGCTGAACATTTTTTTAAAATTACTTTTTTAACAGAAGTCTTTCAAATGTGAAATGCTGTAATTCCTCAGCAGTCTGGCACCATCTCTGCAAAACAGAGATAGCTGACCAGAGACGAGTTGGGAGGCAGGAGTGATAGTAAATGCTGCTGTGAGGTGTGAGGAGGAGAGTTTGATGATTCTTGGTTGCAAGGAGATCCTACTAAAGGCAGCCCCAGCTGTCGGGAGGAGGTTGTGTTGAAATGGAGGTGGAAGGTAATCAAGACCAATGAGCACAATTTTATCAAGCTCTTATCATTTTACCAGAGACGCAACAATGGGGATTCCTCTAAGCCAGGATGTCCAGATTCAAGTTGCATCTGCTTCACATGTATGAAATGACATCTCTGAACAGGTTGATTCAAGTAAAAACCATGAAGCTCCAGAGGCTTGCCAGAAGAAACAAGGGAAAGGCTCAGTGTTAGAGGTCAGTGCTGGCTATGAAAGATGTTACAGTTTGCTTTGGAGAGTGAAATAGAGTGGACAACAACAGTTGCAATACGCAGTAGAAAACCAGTTTGGCAGCGTGGTGGCACACAACTTGAGTATCGTATCCCTAATAACATTGTGGGTCAACCCACAGCAGAAGGACTGCAGCAGTTCAAGAAGCCAGCTCACCACCACCTTCTCAAGGGCAACTCGGGATGGGCAAGAAATGTTGGAAAGCCAATGACGCCCACATTCCCACAAAATGAATTTAAAATATATACTGAATAAGGCAGGGCTCGGGAAACCTGGATCACTGAATGCAGGTATTTGTCATGGGCCTCATCAAATCAGGCTTTCAGACCCCCAGCATGTAGCAGAGATTGAGGTAGAGAGCTAGACAGCAACACTAAAAGACAACAGAATCATGAGCCTGGAAGCAGGACACAGACACAGAGGGCACAGAGAGGCACGCACACAGT